TTCGTTCACCGATGATTGGGGGGGGGTAGGTAGCTGCGCATTGCACGCGCGAGCTGGTAAATTGGTGCATAAATTCAGCACTGTCAGTGGGCTGTCAAGTGATAGGGGTTGGAAGCTATGCTATGAATTGAAGGCAATAGCTTTGATGCACGAGCGCCATTGAGGGCGCGACTGGGCCGTGTCTGACAAGGTCTCTAGCCTGTGGCCCGCAGCCAGCGCAACATATGCAGCGTGAACAGTTCATCGAGCGAGGGTGAGTTATTTCTCCCGTTATATTATTCACGCATAACCAATGCGAGCCAACGTTTCTGAGACAACGAAGTCAGAGGCTATTTCGTATCTATCGAGGGTGAGTTATTTCTCCCGTTATATTATTCACGCATAACCAATGCGAGCCAACGTTTCTGAGACAACGAAGTCAGAGGTATGCTATTTCGTCTCTCAGTGGTACTCACTTTGCAAGATGTGACATGAGCAGCTGCAGCGCCTTCTGGTTCGCCCGTGGAAGAAGGTTTAAAAGACGTGATACCTCTTGTACTCGTTCGGAGGGATTGCGTTCTGTTCAGCGGAAAATGAACACGTAAAACGGTATGAAATATAATATTTTCTACATATATATTATTACATGTTGTACAATGTATATATATATATATGGTGATTGCTCAGTCAAAAGCTGAAGCCCGTAGCATAGTGACAGCCTGTACTGTATGCGTAAAAACTGAGAATCCAAAAGCTCAACGGTGAGGTCACGCGAGCAAGCTCTGCTTGGTTTTCACACACACAGAGGAGTTGAGCTTTTAGCCATCCACACCAAAACGACAATTTTGGATCATAGGTTATGTCGGACAGCTCCCTCCTGACCGCCTTCTAGTCATATTACCTCAGATTTACACGGGCCAAAGACCGTTCCAAATGTAGCTTATTCGGTATTCCCTTTTTATGCCGAATTAAATGGAACGCTATTAGGCGAACATCTCTACGAAGTAGACTGCCCTTGTACACACAAATTACACAACTTAACCACAGTGGATGGCGCGAAATGCAGCCAACTCACTTCCAGTAGGTGATTTGTGATTGTCGACGATCGTTTGGTTTACCATAAAATAACTGAGTCTGCGTGCCCAGCGGCCGAAAGCGATGTCTTGGTATTGACACACCTGCAGTATGCCGGCCGCTGCAAACATACAACCTGGTGTTACATTAGTGGAGGTTGGCGAAAATCACCAAACCTTTCTAGCCCCGAGTACACTTTCTTCGCCTAGTCCATTGAGGTTCTAATAATAATAATAACAATAATAATGATAGCATTAAAAATAACCATTCTGCTGTAAAAACCTTTCGGTGTTGGCTCCCATGCCATTCGAAGGGAACGCGAGGGCCGAGTTACTGGTCTAGACAGTAGCAGTAGACAGTAGTCTAGACCCGAGCACTCGAGATGCCGGTGGTGGGTTCGAAACACGGACCATCCGGTCAGTGAGTTCGCACCGTAACCACTGAGTCATCTCGAGCCACCGATATTAAAAATCTCGATAGTGTTGTGATGTGAGCTTAGTAGCGGGTTCGACTTCTACAAGCTGAGAGTGGTTTTACTAATACGAGAGGCATGCAGAAGCCAATTGTACCAACATCTGCGACGGTTAAGCAGGGTGTCCAGAGAAAGTAAAAATATACCTACAAAGTGTGTAAGTTTAAATGAATAGGATAAGACAGACCGATAGACACTTACTGATTGCCGCAAGAAACTCATGATGCAAAGCGAAGGTGACCAGTGGTTCGTCCAAGTTGCGGACAAAATGCTTGACTGCACTTGTAAGCATGTGGGTTTCATAGGTGGACAGAACACTTTTGCTCAATCCAGGTGGGTCTGTGTTGAGATAGGGGAAGCGTTATGATCTAGACGTCCCACTTCAACAAACACAATCACGAAAAACGTACGAAAACTAATCAAATTCTCCGTTCAAAATCAGAGAAATCTCAAATCATTCAACTGTTAGGCCTTTTTGGGCATATCTACCGTGTAACTGGCAATGGGCGAGAGCGTTGTGTTGCCAGGTCTAGACAAGAGCTGTTGAAGTGGTGGTGTTGAGTTAGAAGCCCTGAAGGTTAGAAGAAGCTATAGAAATATGATTATCAATATAAACGAAGAACACTAGTAGTATTCCATGAAACTGGGTCCGTGTACATTCAGGAGTTTTGAACAGTGCAATCGAGCATCTTCTAGGGAGCCAATGGTGCACAGCAGGGCTGCTGGTCACTTTTATCCAAGTAAGCCCCGTATATCGTCATGGATATGTTTCACAATTCGAAGGTTAGTTGAATCCAATGTTTGAGCCTTGTCTGGGTTGAGTTCGTGTGTACTCAAGTTTGCGTTCTCTACGTCCCATACAAGTGATCTGGGATACACCTCTGAGCTCATCTACGCTTTCGATTAAGATTTCATTCGTCCAAAGTACGAGAAGCTATTTAAGTCTTACCTATCTACAGAAAGTAATCTCCAGGCATACTGAATTTGTTTGTTTACGTGACGTCGACGATGGACGAGAACGAGGGAGAAATTCATTATAAAGTAACACTCTGCAGTATTCACAGAAGAGAGAATTGCGTTTGCTAGCACGAAAATGCACGTCCTTTAATTTTGAAAAGTGGGTGAATGCACTACTTCCAAGAGGTCTGTTTGTGCTTGAGTATGCTTTAATAAATCTAACCCCCCTTCTCCCGGGGAGGGCAGTACCTAAATAGACCTCTGTAAACAAGTGTAAAGATACATTAGAATGCAGTCATCGCAAACAAGTACAACGGATTTACGACTTACTCATTGCTTGTCGAACCAGTGAGGTAACCTTCAAGCGCACACCGGATATTCGGTAGATACCTTGTGTCTCGAGTCCTGTGGAGGGTACAGTGGAGCAGGAGCGACGATGATTTGAAGTGAGTCAACTTCAGCTACATATTAAAGAATGGTACTAAAACGCTTCCTAAAGATGATTTTCGGATTCCGATGGGTTTACGGTGGTTGGAGCGGACACGGCTCACTGTTTTAAAAGCGAAGCCCCAAGAGGATTTCAATTCTGTCTCGCTTCTACAAGTTTACTGGTTTTTTGTACCCACACCCAAGCACCCTCCACATACCTTTCTAATGAGGCTATCTGCTTGATCCCTTACCCTGTGCTTAAAGCGGTAAATCCATTTCCCCAACTTCATGTAGGGGATCTTGTCAGTCGGCTTCAGTATGTTTATATTTTCTTGGGTAGACGGCAGGTAACTGTTTGTACTAGGCCATAAAGATGTTGTCATCGAGGACACTATTCGTGACAGAGATCTTAGAACACAGTGCAAGTAACGAGTTCTAGATTACGACGGAAGGCAAACTAACGAAGTACATGAAACAAATGGCAATGAGTGGATTTGGCATGTCATCCTTGAGCAAATCAAAACAGTTGAGAAACAGAGAGACTGGTAATAGCAGCTGTAGTAGACTAGTATCTTTAGTTAGGAACCCACAAAGTATTGAACAAAACCGCCCCATCGTGTGGGAAATTTGTCCTGAAAAGGTATCATCAATCCGTAAAAATAACCCGACAGTGCGTCCCGGGTGTTGTATACTTTATTACTCTGGTATTTCTGAACCTTGTTTTAAGCGCAAACATTCTTGTGCGCTGATCGCCATCCCAATGATAAACCCATTGATTTATCTAGACCGAAAACCGTGATTCCCAGACTAAACAGCTGAATGCGTTCAAAAGTACTATGCGCCGAACTTCGCGGTCTTCATCGCTGCTGTCACGGTCATATTACGCACTTCACATCAACCATATATTGGCCAATCCATCCGAAAAATTCATCGCAATCGATTAATCACTATCGTACAAACAATTCAGCGTGTTTTGAATACCTGAGCACAGTATTCAACTGCAAAACTTCCGGTTTCAAATCCAGTTCTCTGGAAAGACGCTTTTTGCATCTCGGGATAAATTATCTAACATAGCTCGGTTTCCTTGCATTTCATAGCGAAACTGAGTAGAATATTTCATCGGTTGGTTGGGTTTTACTCCACATGCGATTGGTCCATAATCAACGGGAGCTGATATTTGTGAGATATGGAGAACAAATTGAGCAAGGTGATGAGAGATTAGGTGATTGCGTGAATTAACGACTGGACGATTTGAATGTGAAGAAAAATTACAACTTTTATTTCATGTTTTCCAAGTTCATCAAGATGCAGTACCAGAAGCTATGAAAACGCGCCTTGTGTGGGCGAATCAAGCCCCGCAAACCGAAACAAGGTTGAAGCCGCAGGTAACCGTTTTATACTGGTACATGAATGACGTCAAATGGAATTTAGCTTTGATTCTAACGGGTACTTCCTAAGAAGAGCGACAACACAATCCAATTCTGAATGAAACTCGTGTCGATCAGTAGCAAAATTGGCGCGAATCATCTAAACCATATCAGATACCAGTGCCTTCTTCATTCAGTGTTCTTTACCAGGTGAAAATCACCGTAAGTCCTAGAGTTGTCGTCATACACGTTGCGTTAGCAGAAAGACCGTTGCAGCCTACTCAGAGTAAGTTGGTTATTTTTGGATACTCTGAGCAACAGAAAGCGATCTTTCAAAACAAATTGATTTTTAATGGAGCGTCCCCTCGTGGGAGATACGCCCCTTAAGAGGATTCCATTGAAAAACAGATTCCAAGCGAAGCAAATCGTTTTACCGTAAAGATTGCCCTGTAGAAAAGGGTTCGCTTAAATAGGAATCACTGTACTTTTTGAAGTATCCAGTGGAAGTAAATGGCCTGTCTGGTTCAAAACGGCACATACAAGGTGTAGCACCGGCTCTTTGAGGCACACTCATGTTGAGTGAAAAAGGACATTAACAAACAGTTCGGGCAGGCAGGATCCCAATTAGGCCGATGAAAAGTGGAGGAGGACGCAGAGCGAAAAACGTTTAACCCATCTGAGCACAACGCATCAACTGAACTGGAAACAGGTGCTTACCATTTTCTTCAATGACTTCAAGGACATTACGCAGAAACGCCATCCCGAGTTTATTCAAGTGCGCTAAACACGGAAAATGAAGAGTTGAAAAACGTGAGGATTTTCGTGATTACCCTCCATAAGAATATAAGAGCTTTAAAACCAGTTGATCACTTCGTATTATGGAAAATCTGGGTAAAATATACTATTCCTTCAACAGCATGTTCAATGTCAAAAAACAGTGCTTTGTAAGACCGCGTTCATGGAAAACAGGAATGCTTTTTTCATAAAGTAAACTACTCACAAGGTTGCTGAAAACTCTTCGACAGCCCACGACCGATTCGCCCTATCGGGACTCATCAGGTAGGCGCAGTCTCCGAGTTTCCGTCAACCTCATGTTCAAGAGATCCCGTGAAAACCCACTTGATATGCAAATGAGGAGAAATGCTTTTTGTTGAGTGACATTTGGAGGAACTTGAAAACGACATACTTCAGAATGTCACTGCGCTGTTCAAAGTTCATCTACTGATGGTATTGATTCGTCCGGCTAAGCTGATTTGATCGCTGCGCCCTCAGGTTGATGTGATGGTAGTATTAATTCAGGGGATCATCAGGGCAAGTGAAATATGCGGCAGTTCCTCCGCCGTTGGCTTTAAGGGACGTAATACTGTTCGCTTTCCAGAGGAGTTTCCATGTCTACGCCTGTGTTCACGACAATTCGCTTCTCTATTTTGTAATAATATGTAAATTGTAGGGTCGAGCTTACGCCAGTGCCAGTAGACTTCGATTGAAATATGCTGATCGAATGGGGACAGCTGAAAGAACTTGTGTGGAAATTTCGAATAACTAACTTTCGATAGTGCAACTGAATGCCAGAAAAGGTAAGAAGACTTATCACTGTCATAGCCAAACCTTCATTGCTTCAAAAGATATTGAATACTCGTTTATTTTATGACTGGATGGGTTTTCAAAACTGAAGCCTAAAGGAAACTTGAACACAAATTACACTCGATCCAACGAGACTGAAACACTTAATTGAAGGGTGTCATCCTAGTAATGACTCTTTTTATGCAAAACAAGGGCACCATTGGATATGGGATTATGTAACGTTATTTGTCCCAAAACCACAAAGGGGTTATGTTGCCAGTTTTCTTCAAAGAAGAAATCTAACAAGCTTCCTCATAAGAACCCTGGTTTCATGTTTTTTTTCCTTTCAGAAACGCCCAGAGAAGAAATCCAATCCTGCTATTCCTCTGACATCTTTGATAGTTCCAGGATCTCAGCTGGACAGATGAAAAGAAGACCACCTATGGGCTTGTCGGTGACTTAACTCAACAAAGGGATACACAAATTACGGGTCGTAAACAATTCCATCGAGCGCGCAGATTTAACAAGCCAGTAAATTGTAGGAATGCTAAGGAATTACGAGGATAGGTTTCGCGCATTCTAACATGCCACGGGTAAAAGCAGCACTTAATGAAACGGCCGAATGTCACCACTGTCCCGGTGGAAGTCGGAAAACCTGTAAAGGTGCCAAGTCGTTTGCGTTGATTTCCCGGACTGATGACGAGGCATTCAGAACAGGATAACATAGGACAATCCGTCTCTCATGGAAAGTTTTTTTTGAGCCAAACAGCGTAGTTCTCATTATCGCCTATAAGCTGACATGTGTTTCATTATGTCAAATACAGTTTTAGGACTTTGGACGGGTATGGCAAAACGAACCTACATGTACGGAGAAAACATCCACCACACTAATTAGTGAGAGGTACGGATAGGAAAACGCATAAACAAAATGGACAGTGCGCAATAACGACACATCAAAATTTTGCGGATCGTCTGAAGTAGACTGGGTGAAACGTACTTGTGTCTGGATTCACTTTATTGTCCTGCACCAATCCAAACCGATCGGCGTAAAGCTGAAGTAAGGAACGAATGTTTTTAAATTTAGGGTACTAAAAAAATGTTAATTGTTTGAAACAAGAAGTGCAGTTACATTACGATCGGACCAGGTGCCGAGTGAGTTGGGTTTTCGTAATCTGTTGCAGCTACTAACAGGACTACTCGATAACTGTGGTTTACGATACAAATGTCTTGTAACTGGTGGGGATCCTGAAATTCCGAGTCCGGATGAAGTCCTGCGAGTCTTTTGAAAATTCCTGCACCAACGAGGAAAGTAGGCATGGAAATGAGGCAAAAAACAGACACTACTAGGATGTAGACATTGGAGGTGAGAAGTATGGAGTGGTGCGAGGTAACGTGAGTTGGATGGCATAAAAGGGATGGCACCTAATCAAAGGTCTAGCGTAACCGTCTGTGTTTCCAATCTGGCCGCTAAAGCTCATACGCGGCTATATGCAGGCCTGTGGCTGAGCTAGTATAGACAAGCGTAGCCAATGAACTCTCACTACAGACGAGAAACACCGGCAAGCATATGAGGGCAGATAGAACACCTGGATGAGGTGAAATCCAATTTCAGGAAAGATAACGGTTCACCTCAGGAACTACCATCATTCTGACTGGAATTTGCAGAACAGTATGCGAGGGTAATAATCCGTAGCCAATATATATATACATATANAGTTTCTTTCTAGATTGTCAGATTAAGCGGTTTGATGTGTAGGCACCTCATAATGCTTGACATAGACCAGGACCAGGTCTCCGCGCCCGCTCACTCTTTCTCTTCTTTTCTCTCTAGGGTTATATATATATATATATATATATATATATATATATATATATACGACACAAAGATAATGGTGCAGATGTAAATAGAACACACGGCCTCCGTTTAGATTCCTTATCTTTTTTCCGCATTATCCGCCCTGGAATTCCCACTTGGGACTTACTCCCCAATTCATAGCAACACCAACAGAAAGAAGTTCACATCAAACGTCTGGCAAGTTGGGTCGACTTTTAGACACAAACACACACTGGAAAAACACCCTCTTATACGTAAAGTTTGCTCAATGCACAACAAGCGAAAACGAACGGACAGAGCAGACCCTATTGCGACCTAAATACAAGGTCTACGACAACTTTTCTTTGGGATTTAGTGTGATTTCTGCCCGTCCAGGTAAGCTCACACACACACGCACACGGCGACCAAAGGTTAAGCCGATACCGCATTGAAGAATAAGTGCGAGACCGAAACATGCGGAAGTCGTGCATCCACAACGGGAATATGTACACCAAATTAGACAGCTTACTCGACTGTGCTCGACACGTTGACTGCATCCTAAAACAGAAAACTGAAGCACTCGAGACCCCAAAACATCCAAATTTAATGCTGTCGGTTTGCCTAAAGTTGGTGCATCCGAAAATAAAAATTTCCGACAGCCGTATCACTGGTTGCATTGATCGCAATCTTTTTTGACAACGCGAGAAACGGAGGCAACTCATCATCGATATGTTGGATTTTCTATGCAAATGGAATTCGGTCCCGGTGCTTGCACAATGATCTGGTAGCTGAATGGCTCACAGCATTAGTTGACCATTTGCCACAGATTTTTGGTGGACGCGTTTCCAAGGAAAAACACCGCCTCATTATTTCAAGCAGTCTAAAGAACGACCAACTCGTCTACTGATTTCGAAACATACCTCTACCAACAAAAAATCCGACTAAAAATGAACTAATTGCAGATTCTTTACATCCGAAACACCGGCCATGAAACCTGAGTCTCACATATAGGTAAGTCTCAAATCACATAGAAATGAGAGTGGCTTTAGCTAGTGCGCAAACTGGCCACAGGTGGTGGTAGTGCCTCAAGGTACATGAATTTTCTTCCTTGGATTTCGTTCAATATAGTCATGTAGTAGGGTAAGGAAGTACTGTACCGTTATTCCACTTTTGACGGAAACCATCGGCTCGCATGCCTGCAATTCAAACAAGGTCTGCAAACCCTCAAACTGGAGTAGAACAATGTACCTTCAGGATATGTTGGACGATAACAGTGTGGTTAGCTACACCTAAACTCTGTACAGCCCCAAGCATAATCAGTCAAGAAGACGTACATCCGAATGGAAGTAATGGGATTTTCACACAACTTCACCCGCGTTACTACTATTTGTGTAAGTAGTCGGGCTGGTTGTTGATTTTCATCGCGAGCTCCGCAGCAGATGGCTAGATGAACCAATGTCGAACAACCGAGAAGCGCTAAATAGTTGTTTCATTCTTAAGGGGATTTACCGTCAGTGCGTGTCTCAAGCCTCGAGATAACTAAAAAACACTAATGACGTGGTATATGCGTTGGACACCACCCGATGGCTGCATGTGGTTGACCGCTGTTCAATTTATCCGCAATTCCATTGCTCTGCGTCTGAAGTTGAAAAAGTTATCTCAACACAGAACACGTTTGCTAAAAACTACTGGTCAAGAGAACAACAGTCATATTCCCGCGCAAAATAGTCCCCCCGACTAACCATCTTGACATCTCGTTGAGTAGAAAATGAGGGCACTGGACATCTGGCTGTGCAGTGTTTATGGCGTTCTGACTGGCTCAGCTCAGGTGGTGATGTACTACCAACTGGAAGCAAACGCACGGCTTGAGTGAAACACTCGAAAGGCCTCGTGACACTGCCTACGTGGTGTTTGCTGGAGAAACAACGAACGTTCTAGCACCACCAAAGAAAAGCTCCGGGACACCCTTTCGTCGTTAGCATCGCCGTTACCATTGTCACAGACAGTAAAATCAGCTGCAACACTGACCTGTCACGGCGATACGGATCTGGCTACCCAACAGGCTAAGTCAATGAAGAAAGTAATTTCGCTCCGACTTTTTCAGTAGTTTTTGGAAGCTAGATTGCTTCTGGCAATATCACAGGGGAATAGTTTGTAGGTCTTCCTTTTTGGGTGCCCTCATTTTCCCGATGTACTTCAATCAAATTTCTTGTCTAGCCCAGCTCAACTTTTCCGAAAGCAAGTAGTTTCCTCCTCCTCAGGGGACTCTGAAGCTGCTGAGCATCGACGATGAAATTTGTCTTTCAAACAGACTGGTCGGGCTGATAGTAGTGGCTGCTCATCACACCAATACCTCGAAGAATGGTTGTGTGTAGGCTGACTTTAACGCGTTGCGAACGAACCATCAGAACTTGGGAAATGGAGGTGTGAGTAGCGATTTCACAAGAGTCAATGGTAACCAAACGTCAGTGACATATCTTAGATGTTAGTTCTAGTCTGTTAAGGCACACGAATTGATGCAAATACAGATTTCACATGTCGCTTCAGCTCCTGATCGGTCATGCAAACAAGCTCCAATGTGACTGCTTGATAAAACCGGCCTGAGACGCAGCGGATCGCACAACATACAAAACACCCTACCTGCAACTTAGCAACCGTTATCCCAATCATCTACACAATCAAGAGTCGGAAATAACGGGGGACATTAGGCGTAAGTTTGTTTACAAATCAGACTTGTTCTAATAGTGGTTTTCATATGTTGTGGGATTGTGTCCGGCCACGAGGGGTCTACTAATTCCTACGGGAATTCAGATGAGGAATGATTAAAACGTTCGTATAAGCGGGAGACAGTTAATTGGGGAGTGGTACTGTAACATTCAGCAGTCTGGTTGTAGCTGCGGAGCAAAGTATGATGGAAGGTCAGAGACGCCTTGGGAGGACACGAATAAGGAGTACTATGTGGTTTCAGGAAGTCTTCAAGAAGGGTAAGTCGGAAAGTGCCCTAATGAAGCGTCTGGTGAAAAGAAATAAAGAACAGTACATGTCTGAAGGAAATGAGTTCACCTGTATTTTCATACTGAGCAGAGAGAACAGACAGTAAAACATTACTACCAAATACACTCGTGCCTTGAATGAGGAAAATAGGTGAGCTGTACCCTCATCATTTCAACTGACCACACGGTAGTCGAATGGTAGTCAAATTACCATCAAACTACCTTTTCAGTCTTAGAAATCAATGATCTAACCAGTCACTTTGACGGATCACTTGAGCACCTTGATGGGCGCACGCCAACCGATTAATTTCGATGTTACACAGTTCTGAAACAAGTGAAGCAACCAATTTAGGACTAACGAAGATTGATCGCTGTACGACTACAACAGATTCGTAAACATCTTCGTGAATCAACGTGTTATTGCCCAAGCAAACGTACCGGCTCTTGGCCATCCATGATTCGTAGCCATTCGAGTAGATCCGCTTGTGACTGAGCCTGCAGTGTGAGTGGAGTTGACCTGAAACAACCGACAGAACGAGATCAAAAGTTGCAAGCCCTGGAACACACATGCAGAGATCAGCTTACCAAACGGTATTCACCGTCTCCAATAACCCCACTGAAAGGATTCATCTCTAATACACCCGCGTAGCTGTGTGGCTGGTCACAAATGTTAGGCCATTAGCCCCTCCAGATTAAGACACTTCCGAAATAGTAACAGGCAGGACGTACCGTGCGTGTGACACCCAACAAAGCATAGAGACCAAATCCTCCTGGACAACCAGTTAAATGAATCGGAGCTTCCCTTTGAGCATAAATGCGGAACTTGCCCTGATTTTATCGTAAGTAAATGCTGAAATCTGACCCGCTAGAGAATGAGTTAAATAAACGTCAACTAAGTAGTGCATCTAGATGCTAAACGGAAACTTATTTTTTTTAAATACTGGCTTGCTGCTCATCCCATCCTCTAAAAAGGACGAAACCATCTTGCTCCAAAACTGTTGACACTACGGTGTTGGATGGTGCCAGAAACGATATGTCAATCTAGATTGAAAAAAGATTTTGCACGTGATCTTTCAATCCGATAGGCGATCACCTGAATGATTGTTGATGGCAGTGTACCACATGAACTCCTGTACCAATTATGGTTTCATATGTTCCAAGCTATCTTGAGGAAGGCATCAGGGTAGATACACATGTATGTGAGCTAGATGTGCACCCTCGAAGAAAAGTTAGGTTGGGCGGTGACCCACAACAATTCCCAACGAGACTTCAACGATTATGTATGTTGCAAGCAATTCCGTACAGAGTGATAGAGTGCGTGTCGACCCAATAACTCGAGGGACCCAAATGCAGTTCGGAATACTCAACACACAAAAACAAACTTTTTAAATACTGCTGAAAACTTCGCATCCTTCTTAACCTTTCCAGCATGCACAATCTCTATGTCCAGACACAAACCACCTCTAGGAAACTAGACTACCTAACTCCAAAACCGGACGAATCCAGACTTCTGGGACATGTTTCTTACCGGCTATGACACGGTGGGCCAGTCGACAACTCAGATTTCGATGGCATTTTCTTGTACAGTGTAGTCTTACAAATAATGTACTTGTTGACCGGATGACATCAAGATGTGATATCTTCACTGGACACCCCGAGTGGCCGAACGGGATGAGAACACCCACCATGTACGCCACTCACGCCTAGGCTGTGGGAATGGCGACCAGCTCATTAGCTTCGCCACCAACAACAACCCCTTGTCAGCGACATACACTTCTAGCATCGGAGGAAACGTTGACGGACGTGCTAGAGGAATGACGGTTACGAAAAACCACCGAGAGACCATGTTTTGGTACGTACACGGAGGGCCTAGCGAAATAAAATTTCCAAGTCTCATAAACGCTCTGAGACCGGAAACACCGGAAGTACAAATCATAGCTTGTCCGTTGTAACCTCAAATTTTATCTCACTGCCGGACGGAAAAAGTGTCCCCAAAGTGCATAAACACTGCACCGCTTAGTTGATTTTAGAAACCATAGCCACAGGCTTACGTGTTAGCAGCCTTAGCCGAACTAATGGGTTCTGATAAATGATCAGTGAACACTTGAAACTCCAGACTCAACAAGTCACCGCGGATCAACTTGACAGTGTGCGATGAAATAAAAAACTGGACATGACTATTGAATGCCGCAAAGATAGGCCACACGGCAAGCCGGAAAAAACCGCATCTCATACTGGTCATCTCATACTAGTCATCATCATCATCGACAGCATGACATCAGCGTTCAATACCAATGCTTCACTGCTGTACAACCATAATTTATTTGAAAGCCTTATTGTAAAGAAAAGAGTCGAGGTGGACGGGGAAGGAACTTTGTACTAGCTTACCACAATCATTCCTAGATATTCACTCAGGCGATCTGGATAGAAACTGACAACAAGAACGCCACTGACATCGGTTGGCAGTCATATCTTTTAGTGTCTCCAACCAGGCACAGTGAGGATCACGGGGTCATATAGTACCAAACATGGAATCCGCATTTAACGTGGGGGGACCTCAGTCGGGTTTATCGTCTCATACGAACAGCTTCGGGCAAACTCCAGCCTCAACGAAAGGCCGAGATTTTATCAATGGCCATGATAAGAAGATTCAACGTCCCGAATTCAGGCCCAAAACATCCAAACAACCCCTCAACACTGTGACAGTAACTGTGGAAAGCGAAGCGGTCGTCAAACAACTAAAGAACGGAAAATCGACTGCAGAAGACGGAATCCCACTTGAAGTTTACAGAAACTACCTACTCATATTTCGCAAGCCTCTCCATAAATTATTTTCCATCAATATGGAGTCTCTCTTCGAACTGGCGCGCTTCAATAAAACTGCCAATCTCTGAAAGAGGTAGTAAACTAGTTCATGCTAATTGTGATGGGATTAGTCTGATCGATACTGCAGTCAAAGTATTTGCTTAGCTCCCACTCAAAACCCTCCCTCAAGGAAGGGACAAACGTACAGGACGAATCGAACAAGCATGACCATGCTAAAAGAAGCTACGTGGACCAAATGCTCACACTACACTGGACCTTAGAAAATCGATATAAACCCTAAGAACCCCCTAACAATACTCTGTTGACTTTTTCGCATTGTTTGACTCTGTCGATCGCGAATCACTATGGACGATCTTCCTAGATGATTCCGCACCCACAAAGATCGTGAATCTTATTAAGAGTATTACTACCAGTGAAAGTTCGTGTCCGAGTATACGATGAAGAAACCTCTAAGTTCAATATCATATCCGGCGTACTACAAGACCGCCTAATATCAACAGTGTTCATGAATCTCAAAATCAATGGTCTACTTGAAAGAGCATTGAAGAGATACTCTGACGTCCAGTTGACTTCGAAAACCAGGATAATGACCTTAGAATACGCTGACGACAAGTTGGAAGGACTCTAAAGCACGCTGGGAAATCTTGTTTACTAAGTGATCCGTGTGTGGCTAGAACCCAATACTACGATAACGTTTGTTCTATTTATCTGCGCGATCGCTCAACGCTCTTGGGCTAGACGACTTCACTCAACAAGTTCACCGTCGGACTGCCAGACAAAGAATGCATTGTGAAAATGAGCTGAAACCAGCCTTGTCACGAAACGCGGCAATAAGCCAATCCTAACCCAGGCCTTTTAAACCTGGTCTTCAAGAGCAGATGGAAATGGTGCGTCCAGCGAGTACTATACTCAATACTCGAGGAAAGTGTCAAACGACGAAATCCGAAAGCACTGTAATGAACCAACAAACCTATCTCAGATCCTTAAAAGAGGAATTCTACAATGGTTTTGGAGGTTAATAAGCAAGAACGATGCTAAAATTGTCAAACAAATCCTGAATCTTATACCATGTTAAGGATGGCGTGAGTGATGAACGAAAATGTGATTCACTTAAGCCAAAGGCGATACGCAGCAAGCTGGTCTTCGGGCGATCTGTAGGTCACTGTAGGCAACACTGAGGCGCGATTTGTGAAGATCTGGCAGCCAACAGCCGCTAGTATCCAGCTGCCGTACAGAGCATTTCGGAAACCGACACAACCAGATCCGCTTAAGAATGGAGCCCTGTAAAAAAAACTATTTTTGTTCCACAAGATCATCCCAATGGGGAGCAGCTCACGCGGTAGTCCGGGAAAATCCAACGCCTAAAAGATAAGGGCCCGATAAGATTTGTTATCCTAAGCCTCCGGATCGTGAATTTTTTGCTCATGAGTCCGTCATGCGTATTTAGTCGTCTCGCAATGAATATAAATTGACAGCAGCAATTTCATGCTTTGTTGCTCCATTCACTTCCGCCTTTCTTTCCATGGACAATATCTTCTTTCGTAAGAGGAACGGCACGCTCCTTTCAAACTAAGAAGCCTTGGGCCAAATCCCAGTCAATAGAACAGTAATGTAGCTTAAAAAGTGAAACTTCACTTAGGGAAGTACTTCACGAACGATAGTCTTGCGGAAAGCTAGTGATAACGGATATATCAAGCCTTTTTCCGGAAGTACGAAGTTTGAAGTGGGGACAGGTTTTGTTTGAGATATTCCCTGACTACGTTTCCTATGACATATCATGGTGTAAATCTAGTGAAGAAAATCAACTGAGCGGTAAAACATGAAGGAGGCGCATCTATGCTTCTGTTGATTCTTTGTCACACTGATAAGTAGGAACTCAATGCCGCTTACAAGTGCAGATGACAGGTTTGCTCCCTTATCTAACTATCCGATGGCCTATTCAGAAAGCTAACTACTGAAAAATACCAGATCATTTCACCTAGGACCTCGGAGGACCTGATAATTATCAAGCCATGAGGTTGGCGTTGAACCGGAAAGTTACAATGAAGATACGGTTCGTGGGTTTGAGTCTGTGGAATCCAAGTGTACGTTCAACAAAACTTTCTACATTTTATTTTCAGTAAATTGACTGCTGTTCGACGCCCATCAAGTTGAAAGTATGTACGCCATTGAACGCCTGTATCCTCAGAGATAAAAGAGTTCCACGAGAAGAATTACGTAATTCAGAGATCTGCGGTTTTAGGGGAATTTGGGGTTTGGAAATCTGGAAGCGAATATACCCATCACAGGAAAATAGTAATACCGGTTACCAACAAACCGGGGACAACATAACACAAATATACAATTAAGATGAGCAGCCCATAAAGGCTTCGAAATTTCTCTGTGCTAAACCTGACAAGATAATCTTTTATCCAATGAAATTGATGATCAAGAGAGAAATTGAACAGTAACTGACCTGTTGTCAACTTCGACGTCGAAACAAAACCGTCGATCGATAGTTTCTGAAGATCGTCGGGTGCATGTTTTGATCGAGTAGGATTCTTGAATCTAAAAATAATCATGAGAAAATCAAACAGAAGATGACACAGAAGGGGAAAGAAACGGTAGCTAGCACCATAGTTTTGACAGAAGCTTAATGCATATATCCGAGGAAATAAACTCTTATCGTCATTCATCTGCTTTGTCCGCCACGAATAAAACTCCCGGAGGATAGTACGGGTTGAGAAGACCAGTAAATGTATCTAACATTTTTCCATTAAGTGTATTCCAACGCATATCACTGTATGTACTGACGGTGGAACACATCACGGCACTGATCCAGCCAGCAAGCGATTCTACACTTCATTACAACTTTGTGGTTGGTAGGTAACACGTATTTACCTGTCAGTAATGTTCAACCTACTGAACATCTGTGCTCAGTACATGTAACGCCAAATGGCTTACGTTGCATCAAACGTTTAACAAGTGTTCACCCAAAGTGGAACAGGTAGCCCACAGGAAGCAGCATATGGCGCTGCTTATTCCTCATCCAGCATTTATGCAGTGAATGGATGGATGCTAATCATGTTCACATGCAAGTTGAAGATGGAGCAAATCTTAAAAAGTAAACGGAGGGCAGTAAATCTGAACCTCTGTCGGAATTCGAAATATAAAACCTGGGTTAAGGAATTATCACTCCGCAGGTACTAGTATCCAAGCCTCATCTGCTTATTCATTTAGTGAAAAATCCATCGACAGCTTCACTCGGAGTTAATTTGTCACAGCAACTAGTGATATATCGACCCCCCAAAACACTGATGAGCAGCAGAAACTCTTGGGAAAAAACATCTCCATCGGGATTTCATTCTGCGAATTTCGTTTATGTTGAAAAGACAACAAGCATTACGTAGCTGTTCCACCCTTCTTTGGAAAAAACCACAAGTGTGCGCCTTATATATCTCCAAGGAGTAGTAAAACTTGGACCTTTCGTTTAGTAGCTGAGTGCTGATTGGGTGGCTGATTAGCAGTACAACTAGGCTGCCACCGGATAGGATAGCTGACAGCTAAGCCTCAATAACAGTTTACGCCATGCGGTGTGAACTAATGCGACCTAGTGTTAGCTGGCTCCTCGGGAAACAACTTTCCCCATTGGAAAGTTCACGCAACTTGTGGGATATTTCTCCTTCTGAGCAGACTACTTATCATCATTCCGAGATAGATACATCAGTTTTGACACTAGTGCTTCACTGCCGTACAACCGTCAAGTTCATCTAATTATATTTGCAACCTTAAAGTGAAGAGGAAGAGAGACTGGGTGAGGAACGGAACCAAGTGCTGGCCTATGTCAAGCATTCTCGGTGCCTACACCTCCAAGCGCTCAATCAGACAATCTGAGAAGAAACTGACAGCACTAACGTCCCTGACATCCATCAATCGCCGTTTCTTGCAATGTCTCCAGCCAAGTACAGGCGAGATAACGAGGACCCCATCCTGGAATGTGCGCAATACCAACAACATCCAGACTCTTCATGATCTCTTTCACACCCCTCTGCCAAATCATATGTTGAACACCTCGCGGTTTGCGCCATCCTGAAGAATGCATTAAGAACAACACTCGTCCCGGTAGACAGTGCTTCGGCATACGTAGCACATGGCCGAGCCATCGTATTCGGTGGTGCTGTATGTTTTCAGTGACTGAAGTACTCCGTTGACGCCATCCAAAACCAGCCACGCTTCTTAGGCATCGGTGGTCAAAAACCTGAAGACGACTTACATAATCCGTCCGTAGAGACCACGTCTAGCAGCCGTACAACAACATAGCCCTACTGTAGCCTGGTACATGGGACACTTAAGACCCAGTAATAAGCCTTTTTGACACATATGGTGAAAATTAGCAAACATGATTCTGGCCTTCGAAATTTGACTTCATCAGACACACTCCCATCTGAGCTAATACGGACTGATACAGACTACTTAGTGAGGAGATTTGGAGCCTTTACTTTATGTACCAGCCAAAACATGATCATGCGATGCCAGTTGCGTGAGTGAAGGATGAGTGGCACCACATCCTGTCCAAGTGCGAGTTGGTCAGTGCTGGCCATCAATCCGTAACTGAACGGCACGGACTTCGACTAATGGGGAGGTGGCGGGTTTGAACAGACCCAGATACTCATGAGACATCCGTGCTGATAATTCATTTGCAGAATGAAATTTCGATTAAAAATCTAAAATCTTCGCTACGTTAACGGAATAACTTGGCAACGATTTCACGGATCCTTCTCAAAGTATTCGGTCTGCATCAGTCATGAATGCAAACAATGGCTGAATGAGCAAAAAAGGCAAAAGATAATGCTTCTGTGTTACATGGTAAAATCTCTACGTAACCACTGACGAGATCTATCGAAGACAAGGATTGAGGGGAAGGAAGCTGCCTGGCACTTGCCCGTAAATACGACAATGTGACAGTTCTGTGCACCGTATAATCGCAGAAAAGAAGCACCGTAGTCGGTCACTGTTGCTGGCAGAACTGCATAGCTCAAACCTGTCTCAACGCGGAACTAATGGGGCCTGTTAAAAGTAGCTACTATAGGGAGATGGCCGCAGATTTACTGCAGTTTATCACAGAGAACCAACAGAACAGGCACTGCTTGCTGAGGTTGGTATTGAATTCTACGGCGGTGACTCGTGACTCTCACTGGTGCTACCTGACCGAGATAAATACACATATTCCACATGTTCTCGAATTCATGTAATTCTTAAAAGTGCGAGAAACTGTTTAGGCCATCTAATCTACAACTCTACAAAACAACTTCACTGACGTCAACAGCACGAACTACCGCTTCGGACCATGTTTTTGAAGCAATGGTTGCTAGGTCGGTATACAGTAGGATAGGATCGCAACGGTTGTGACACAATCGATTTTTTCCGGACTTTCTGAGTTAGGTGGATATACAGTGCCACCCATTCACCCTTTTACAACACAGATGAACAAGTGCCGTGATTTTTACTCATCAGACTGAGGAAGACCTTGTTGTCGATCTATAAGTGATAGCAAAGAGGCCACAGTAGAATTGCCTAATTAATTACATTCTTATAATGACTGTTCGGAGATCAGGTAACGACCCCTCAACAACAGCAGGTTTCAGGCCTACCGGACATCTGCAGAAGAAACGCGATAACTTGAACGATCGTAGAAACTGGTCCCACACTGAGGGTTTCGTTCCTTATGAAGCATCCCATTTCACCAAACATCCCATTTGCCCTGTTGTGTTTTCCATCAAATCACCACTCAAGTCATTTCTTATTACGTTCTGGGATTTTCGTCTATTTCGGAAGTTATTCTACAGCCGAAATTTTCCAATTGGTTGAAATCATTTACTCTAGGGGAATTATTGCATGTTGGGAAGATCGTGCTGATATTACAGTAAGTTTCCTTTAAATACTGTGATTCAAACTTACCAAGTCGGAAGACCGTCCTTGTGTGTACGGGATAACTTGCAGAGAACGCAGATCACGACTGTATGTGCAAAAATGCTTGATCCACAAGGTAGTCACAGGTTCTGTGGGGAAGACAGGGGTTCGGAATGGGAAGATCAATGGCACATTTACACACCCGAGAGAAATGACTATGAAAATCACAAGACGTGGTGGCCCTCAGCACAGTGTAACCGCTTACATTTCATTGTGAGTATGCACGAAAATGTATAGATTGATGGTTCTGAAACGGGTTAATTCAGTGTGGTTTCACAACAGCCGTTTGTGAGTTGGCATTCATGCCTAATAATGTACTGTTTCATGTCATCCCGCGTTATACTACTCTGGGAAGAGTGACACCTGATAGTTATGAGTCCCTGAGAGGTGCTTCAGTCACCAATGAAACTCAGCTGTTTTGTTCGAGCAAAGGTTTTGTCAGTCCAGTTACGTTATCGAAAGGCACAACACCAAGTCGTTAAATACAATCGTTCAAGGGGAGCAGTCATGACCTGTTCGGAATATAGGAAATGAAAAGTGAAGTCAAGTACTTTCCTTAAAAGGAACTGCCTGACATCCAACCTATTGAGGTGTTCGTTTTTTTTTCATTTGCGTAACCGTTGTCTATTCCATCACATACGGATAGACAGCTGCTGGACGCCATTTACTGGCAACTTCCAGATATAATAGATAGAATACGGGCTCGTGAGGATCACCTTGCTAGTCCACTGCAAAGGTAAGTTCCAACAAAACCTACCCGTTTAATCGACTGTCCTCAGGCAGGTTTACTGATGAACATTCATTCAGGACCGATGACAGCAGTAGGAGGACAAGTACTGAGTGGAAATCTTTCGTGTTTCCTATTCCTATCCAGGTCACAAGTGCACCGCTCATACGTTCGGCCTCCAAGACCTACTTGAACACTGCTATACACACACACGTAGAAAGTAAACAAGTGTCGACCTCCCAAACCCAAAGGTGGCATCTTCGAATGAGCATCACAGGTTCAGAGTTCATGGCGAAAACCAAAAGCTGCTTGATTGTGACAACAAACGTGTTCGCTGCGTCCAGTAAATTTACCCGTCTCTTCGGACGGTAATCCTTTTGACAAAACGAGCGCTTTTAGCTCCAAACTCCCATATGATTCTCGACAAATCAAGGACCCTCAACTACGAAACGGCACCGGCTTTTCAGTGAAGGGAACAAAGATATTTCATCCTGATAACTCTCCTGAGGCTTCAAATCCGAGTCAGAGTAACAACTGAGGGCTAAGCTACAACAATAAATAGGTACATCACTTCTTGTTTTGTATTACACCCTCCATAGTAATCCTCACTGAGAAGCAAACCGCCCGGTTCCGGTGATCATGTCCATGTGATTTCTAATTGTTTACTTCCAAAAGATGGACTATGCGTCTACATGTATTCTTATATGATTCACAGCCTACTGTTCTGGACTCCTGTACTTCAAAATTTTAACTGATTTAGCTCATATTGAACCCTCCTCGAATCATCAACCACCTGATGGTGATGATGCGCCCTCCTTTACTTCATTAAAAATTAACTGCAAAAAAGGTACTTCGCTTTGGTTCCGATACAATGTCCGCAGTAGGGACTGGCTGTCGGTAGGCCGGAGTTTTCCAAAAATCGAACCCTGATAGTCATGCACTGCTATGGATTGTTCCACATACTCCTGTGAGGAAGCATATCCACGAATACGAGCTCTGACAGGAAATTCTACGGTTCGACCAGAAGGAATGAAAAGCGTATCTGGATTTTGGTTCGCATACTAGCTCTATTCTGTAGAGTGAGTGGTTATACAATCCTGTCACGGTTACAAAAACAATTCGCTCCATAATTCGTCTTTTTTCGTTTCCCAAATAGTCATCAATAACCGCAGGGAGAGTATGGAGTGAGAGAGTATGGAAGTGGGAGAGTATGGAATGACATGCATTACCTGATTCTCTGAATACCTGTCATGGTGTAGATTCAAAATTCAGTTGGTCCTAAACCGTGCATACAACGGCAATGTTAGCTAATTTTCTGCTAACAAGAGTGCCCTCCAGCACTAGTACAAGATCAATGGGTGGCCTCAAGACTACTCGTTCTGTCTAGTGCGTTATATACATATTCAATAAGCTGCTGCTCGAAGTATACTGTTTCAAAAGCAAAACAATTCGACGGCAAAATTTCATGGTGAAATTGAGAAAACGTCTCCATAATGAATGTTGTATAAAGTAGAATGTCAGCTGAGATCGGTCACGAAGGTAAGGGCTAGGGGAATTCCCGAAAGCAACAACCGAAGTCCTGCGGAGAAATTTAGGCGAATAAATCCGCGCAAGACACACTGCTCCTTAGTTGGGCGGATATAGTAGCTGAATAAACACCAGCTAGTTAATTCAATACTCTTGATTTTTACTGTAAGCAATTCCACTGCGAAAATGAAGTTGTTATGGCTCATGCCATACAGCGCATTGAGCATTTGTGCGCATACTAGAATTCAAAAAAGGAGCATATATTATGACGGACTAAAGGATAAAGACACCTGCAATTAACAGATTCTCAGGCATCAAAATGTTAGACCCAGAAGTGCGCCCTCTGAAGCTTATTGTCCATAATGATGACTGAAAAAAGTTGGGTAGTAGGCAGGACGCTTACTTTTCACCTGAATGAACAAGTAGCCTTCACGGAATGCTGCAGAATCATTCGACTGTACTTGCTCCCACGGTGTTTTGAGTAGCTTCTCTTTCAACTCTTTTGTTTCATCACTAATTTGACGAAAATTTGCGGCCGACTAAAAATGGAGAGGAAATTGGGAAGGATGAGGAACTATGTCTGAAAGAGCAAAACCTGCCCAGGGACGAAATCACACGTTTATTAGGAACAAAAGGGCATCCTCACGTTCCGCACATCGAGTAACACAACTAAATCGAACCCAAATTTGAGTACAATGGTGTATACAATCCGAAGGATGATGAGCCGATTTTATCATCATCATCATCATCATCATCATCATCATCATCATCATCATCATCATCATCATCATCGTCAGCTGTAATAACCGCGTACTCGTCGTACAGTGGTTGTAGCTGCCGCAGTTTCGTTCACCGATGATTTGGGGTGGTAGGTAGTTGCGCATTGTAGGCGGGAGCTAGTAAATTGGTGCATAAATTCAGCACTGTCAGTGGGCTGTCAAGTGGGTGGATTGGAAAAGGAGCTATGCATTGAAGGCAATAGCTTGGATGCACGAGCGCCATTGAGGGCGCGACTGGACTATGTCTGACAAGGTCTCTAGCCATTGATGTGGCCCGCCTCGGAGTCCCCATCCAGGAAGACAGCAGTGACCAGCGCAGCTGAGTTTGCTGATGATGGCTTTCAAACTTCGCTGCCAAGTGATTGTTTGACCGCCTCTAGCTCTTTTCCACCCTTTACGTGATTGTGTGGAAAAAGCCCTTCAAGGAAGTCGGTCGACTGGCATACGCAGCACTAAGCAAATGAATGGCGATAGGCAACAGCAGAAAATGCGACTGACCTGAATAACGGTAATATTTAGTCGGAAGCGATTTCGGTCCAGGTCACCATATTTTCGTTCCAACCTCCTGAAAAATCTGTGTGATATTTTCTTGACTGGGGAACACTTTGTGGTGGAGAAAACCAATTTATTCGCTGGTTATACGAATTCACCTAGCTCACAAAGTAATCGCGGGTTTGCTGGCAAATTCCACACTGACTTCAGCAATGATAGTACAGCTATCCCTGTCACTGTTGTTAATCGATCCATAGAATCACCTTCACACACAAAACGAAAGAGCAGTGCTTCGCTCTCGGCGAAAATTAGAATTTCTAGCCAGTGACCACATAATATTCTTTTAAGTGGGATGTTAATAAACAGAACAGAGTAAGTAGGCACACGTTCTTCTGAATGAGGCCGATGTGGTCCAAAATGTCTGTGGGACTGTCGCCAGAAACCATGTCTTGAATCACGTCCCAAGTTAGGGCGACTTCCATTTCTCCCCGAGATCTGAAGAGCCCCAGGTGCTGAATATACGGAAACAAGTCTACTAAAAGTTCATAGTCCCGTCGCTGGAATGGTATAAAACGCGGTCAGTCCAAGAGGCCATCTAGTTTATACTGTTAGACAAGCAACAATGGGGCTTAAACCTTGCCTTTAACTTCATCGTGAGTCTTCGCAGAAACTGCCTACACCGGAATGCAGGTAAAATGAACTCGCTCGTGTTGGGAGGTGTGTTGTGTCAGGATACCCAGTACCATCAATTCCGTTGTGGAAAAACTATCCCAATAAAGCAATCACCATTGCGCGAAAATTTGCTTTCTAACAGCGTTATACAGTATTCGGAATGCGTACTACACCATTCTACCCTCCAGCTACGTTTCCCGTTAAAATCTGATTAAGTTGCAAATGAGTGAATTTCGCGAATTGTGTCCAATTTGGATTCACTAGAACTGCACCTACTTGATAAAGACAAAGAAGGCGAAACCGGTTGTGGGTTATCAAAGAATTATCACAAGCGTAAAAAGCCCTACTGTCTTCTTTGTAAGATAAGGATACAAATTGCAGCTTGAGTGCAATGTAAACCGCAGTCAGCTATAAATGCAGAAAGGCCATACTTAGGCACCACTTGCGGCAATGCTAAGCCCGTGCTTCATTCACGCAACCAACAGATGTCAACACACCGAAACGTTCAACTTACACGTTGTGCCGCCTGATTAATGTTGGAAAGTTGTCTCTGAGAATCTTGAAAATGCTCAAAGGCCTGGTGATAGAAGTTTGCCATCATTTGCATGAACAGGCTGATCTGTGAAATAAAAGTTGATATGCAGATGAGGAATTAGGTGTCACGTGGGTTTGAGTGCAACGTGAACTAGCGTTCACGTCATAAACATAGATCAGGTTTTATTAATGCGAATTTCAAGTGTTCGTGCCTAATACCGCCAAAAACAGCGCCAAATGGAGTTGATAGTGCAAGTGAACACGTTGAGTAGTATTTTTCCCAAACTCTGATACCTTTAACTGCAAACGTTTTCTTTAACAAGGAATGTGCCGCGCAGGATTAACAACCCTGGTCGAAAGAAGGGCAGGCAAACAAGAAAGAGGTATTGGTCGTCTTCATGCGGGGAGACTAAAGAACTTTGATATGTTCTGTGGAGAAAGACGGTAAGATACTTGTCAAACAACCGTCAAACTGATACATGTCACCACATCACACAGTATTCGCAAAGAACGCGGTTCTGCCATAAGGACTTGAAGATACATCATCAATTGGGCCCATCACACTGGTGAAAGAAGCTGTTCAAGTTTGAAAGCCACATCGTTGGCTGTAGTGCTCTCTTTGAAAAAAAGTAAGTTGACGTTCAACTTCCAGATTGAGACCACAATATGGTATCTAATACCCATAGCATCGGCAGTTCACAGCAAACGTATATGACCCTCACTTTCCAGTCTGCTCGTTTACTCACTCCTTTGAGAATCCTATGAGTATCTGCTCTCGTCAGAGAGGAAGCCAGTCAAAGATGGCTAAGTAGAAGACAACGTCTCACGAAAAAATGCACATTTGCACACCGAAACGCTGAAATTCCGTAGGAAAGTCAAGAGTAGGACATGAAATCCAAAGAACAAAAGCCCGAAAAACGATGTACAGTCACTTCGCTCACGTCATGATAAGCAATAACAAGGTTAATTTATGGTTAAACAGCTTCAGTCAGTGATCACGAACCCCTGCTCCTTTAGTTAGAGCTGAGAGGAAGATATAATCCGTACGTAATAAATACGAAATGTGACAGATGGATGGATGTTCACAAACTCCGCCACTTATCCTACCATGCCTTCAGTGACCAGGTTCCGGGATCAAAGCAGCAACGAAATGCGAGCTCCCAACTCAGATTTTTACGGGAACCGTGAGTACTGGCCGTTTGTTCAAAGTTAAGAATGAAACCAACCGGTTTTGCTCAAAAACATCTAGCAATATCCATTAACGTTAACCCGTATTATGTATCAGTTTTACCACTAGATGCAACCTAACACCAAACTTACGAATGCCTGAACACAACCGTTTTATCATAGGTTGTCATTGCGTGTAGGCTGGTTGTTTGTTCTGGCTTCCTTCCTCCTTCTCACACATACATAGCGATTCAGAGTGCACAAACGGAGACAAATTCAGATCAGCAATAACGGAAATCCATCGAGCCACCAGCAAAAATAGTTGCGGACTAATTAACCAGAACGCGTCCACCAACGAGTGAATCATCGTTAGAACCGCTGGCTGAAACGAGCGAACATCACACGCATACAATCAGCAGTCAACAACTGTGTTGCACACTTCGTTGTTTATAATTTTTCGGGACAAAATAAGTACGGCTGTGTTCAACCAAAACACTACCGAAGAACACAACATTCGTAACCATTTCGTGTGGGTTTGTAGCCGGTGGACAAAATATATGGGTGCTTTCCGGTCGCCCCTTATATACTTGCGTTTTTCAGGGGTAGAGATCATAACCCAAAGGCACTCAGAAATGAGTATCCGTTTGTGACGTTTTCTCATAGTTAAGAGGATTAGAGTATCAATAATCTGAAAGAAGCCCTTCTTCAACAGTTCCACATGAATTCCAGAGAAATCAGTCTATTTTACCCAAATTGGTCATATTTTCTCGACCGGTTGCGAAAAACGAAGTCCCGTATAGGTTTCGCTGAGATCAGGCTGATCAGGTTGAGTAGCGACACTGGTGATACGATTCTCGCTTGACCGTAAAACCTGCGGTTAGTAAGCACATCTGCATGCGAGGCTGGGTTGTTGACACGCCTTGTTTGACCCGAAGGCCATTTGCAGTGCCTTTGAGGGTATCTGTTTTGAGTCATCCAGAATTAAAACCATCAAATCGTGTATAAACTAGTGGGTTGGTATCCGTTTCTAGAGTGGCCGAACTACGTCAGTGACAAATAATACCGCACCGATTTCTGCTGAACAGCTCGCTGAACTGCGTACAACCAAGGGCATGGGGTGAACAAATGGGACACTTCTAATGCTATCAGGATACCCGATCGATAGCACGTAATCGACAAGGTAGGCTGAGTTCAAAAATTATACATCCCAGCCAATGCTGAGGGTGGAGAGGTGGTCCGCTACACTAGTGAGTCACATCCGCGACAAACTCTTAGGGCTACGGGGATCGTGACAATCAGAGATTAGTTTTGGGATTATCCTAAGTTTAGCGGTCCATCCATAGGCACAGATGAAGAACCCAAAATCGATTCCTTTGAGCAGACTGGAAGACTTAACGAATTCATGGTGAGCCAATTCCGGATCAAACTTAGGTGGATATCTACGGTTGGATCTGCTCTGATACACAGTACGGTGACTACGAAAAGCTGCTACCATCACCGCCGAGCTCTATCCAGCGTTTTGAGGTGACGTGGCCGCCGGCCTTTTGTCACCGAAATGATGTACATCTATCCGCAACTCGTCAATTCGAGCCAGGCACTACAAAAACGTCCGCAGTCACAGGAAACTCCACTCGTTCTGCATATCTAATTAACAGCTGCAACAAAGCAATATACCTTGCCCACTTTAACTCCTTGGTACACAGTTGTTGTCACTGGAAATGAAGGGCATTAGATTGCATCTGTCCCCTCATTGTAAACACCCATTTCGGCATAGCAACTGGCGGTCACTGAGCGGCTGGCCTACAGTGCAACGATCACAAATACAGTCACAAGAATGTCCAACCCTATCGCCGTTTTCAGGACTAACAATGTGGGAAGGAAGATTTCACACAGGAAACTTCACATGATGCGTGAAAATACTTGAACTTATAATCACCCGTGACAATCTCACTTCCGAAAACCAAGCATGGTAATGAAGTTTGAAGTATCTGCCAAGGCCATCGTCCTTTTATCTACAGAACTTCACAGTACATCAACAATATCAGTGTCTGAAATGACCCATTTAGAAGGTTCAGTTAGATAGCTTATGAAGGAACAAGGCGACAGTCTTAAAAGGTTGTGAGAACCGAGTGCAAGCATGAAGTCATGTGGTGGTAAGGTGGAAACAAGAGCTATTTTCAGCTGAATAACAAAACAGAGGTTAGACTCTGGACACAGGGGCGGAACATGATTAAAAATGCCGAGTTAGGTAGATAACAACCAGGTGTAGTACACTATTAAGTCAGGGTAACTTCCGTTCTATTAAATGTTCTCATCAGCTCTGAACTTTCGAATACTGTCGGAGTGGATTTATTCGTAAATAACTGGAAACGGACGGAATCGAATAAAGTACCAAGGGAGTGTGCGTATTTCTTTTAGTATAAATCTGTCGCACTGCAAACAAATCAGCTGAAACGAAAATGACCGTGGATATTTACTCTTTGTAGTCCTGTGTTGTCAATACTGATCGAAAACCTGTGGATTCCCATGCACGATTGGTCAAGGAAACCTTGCACTCCACACTGAATCAACAAGTTATCTGCCTAATACCCTTCCACTGAAACGTGGAAATTCAAAAAGCGACTGATATCCGAGCAGTACAGAACCGGTAATAATGAAACCGTACATCCGTCTGTTTTTAAAAAAAAAACATGCAGTAGCTGCACGGCTACGTTTCTCTAAAGGCAGGCTGCTAACCCTGACTGATTGATCAGTTGACAATCCATTCTTTGAGAAAGTGAACAGGAGAAACTCAAAAAGCTAAATTCTTTCTACTCACCGTCTGAACGAATTTGGACTTCTTCAGTTCCTCAGCCTCGTGAATATTGGTCACGTGTTCAAAGGCTCGCGTGATGAACCGCTGACGATCCTGTAACATTTGCTCATCCAACTTGAAAATAATGAAGTAGACCACAGAATTAAGGTTAACTATTGAACAAAAGCGGAAATGAACTGGAGCACGATAAATGGTCCTGTATTCGTAAACGTTGTGGAGGGCGGCTATAGTGATAAGCATACTTTAATGCCTCCAATAACCCAGTACAGTCAGAAGTAAGTGCTACAATTTGGCCAAATACCATCCCCTCGGACTGCACCCAAGTGACTTAGTGCTCACCCGGTCATTGTTGAGGAAGTTCTGTTCACTACTTGCTCCACCTGCACCGAACGTCTGTGAAAGCCGGCTAAATTCTGACTTTTTAATAAACAACGGAAGAAGTATGAGGTAACTCTGTTTCGCAATAGGGTGCTCTGAACCTTATTCATGAATGGTGGTCATTTCAAAGGCGTATAAACCAAACTTCGAGCACAAGTTCCAAATAGAACCGATACTCTACTTTCCACCTACCCTGCAGTAAAGATCATTAATAAAAAGCTCTGACTAGGGCTCTCAAGCCCTCTTCAGTTTGGATAGCTTGGGGGTGCCACACCCGGTGAAAAAATGACAGCACAACAGATATCGCAACGTCGGCATGCGTTCGGGCTTCACAAGCAAGATCCTCAAGAGGCCACATGAGAGGCTGGCCGAACAACATAGGAACGAACCTAATGCCGATCTTGTCAAAGATTCCTGAAGTTATTGCCCAACGCAGACTGATACATACTCGCGAATTAATGTGACGCAAAAATCAAACCGGTTATCGCGGTGGTCATGACTGGGCTGAACAGTTATTAACACTCAAACAACCATCAAAACAAGGACTAATACTTCTGACTTCTCTGGATACTGGGGCTAACTACCCCGTTAACCGGTGCGCTGTACGTGGATGTATGCGCTATCTTGTAGGAAACGGGGAAATTCGTTTGCATCTTGGTCACTGCGGAAAAAACACCAAAACACGATCAACGGTCAACATTCGTCGCCCTAACTGGTAGCCAGTAACGTCTGTCAGGGGTATCCGATCCCGGCCACTCTCCTCCGATTCGTCAGCGATAACATTCAAAAAAGTATTAGCTATGAGAATTGCTGGCGAAGTAGAGCTTCTGCCTATTAACAAGGTCTTCGACTTGACCCACAAAAACGACGTGATCTTGTTGGGAGACACTGCTCAAGCAATAGATTCGATTGTTGATGGAATTCCGATAGAAGCCGGTCATTTCGGTCTCTTTTTCTCACCACGTGTAAAGTCTTATTACAAACTTGTTCTTCAATCATCGTTGGCGTCTACCAATGAACAGCTGCAATTCGCAACGTCATTCACCTACCCCGGCAGGCCACATCTGATGAAATAGCCCGCATATTGCAAAAACAAGGGTCTCATTCTCCAACCTTCGACAACCCCGACGACGTCGCGGTATCAGTCAGAACGGTGCAGTGAGGTTAGCATAGCTCTCTACGTTTAAATATCGTTGTATACGAAGTATTTCGCATAGTTAGTGGGACAAAATACAATGAATGCAGAATACATCGTGCAATACGAGATAAAAGGGAAACCATTCCAGAACGCGAATTCGCTCAATCAGCCTAGATGGTTAGGTCACACCCAAATATCACAGGGACGACTACCAAGACGTACAACTGTTCATAATACCTGCACTGGACTGGAAAAAAGGGCTACTTAATATTACTGAAGTGAACCCCAGCAAAGGTATCCCGTCTTCCGAGTTCAGGTACAAAGGTTAGTAGTTGTCTGTCGTTAGAGATCTTGATGAATATGGCAGAGGGCTGAATTCAACCGCCCTTCTGTTATTTTTTCCATCAAGAACTCACGCATTTCTTTAATCAGCAATTTTGTTTTCCTAACCAACTCACGTTAAGGGCGGCGTGTTGTTTACCTGTCTGGCACAATGTCCTTTTTAGACAGGGAGTTTCAATAATAACAATATACGAATGCACAACATGTAGAAGCCGAAGAGTCTTACTTCATTCATATTTTTCCTTTCGTGGTTGAAAGGAATGTTTGCCGCCGTCGAGAAGAACCTGTATCAGTGTGTAGGGCTTCACAAGGAGTTATTTCTTTCACGCACAGCTGCATACTTGATCATCAACTTCAGTGGATTTGTGTGATAATTATGTACTTCATCCTGCCCCCATATGATTCGAACTCGGTGCCGGTGCCTTAGGGGTGTGATGCATCCGACAAACCCAAAGCAGATTCGCCGTAAAGAAACAGCTATACGCGAATTTATCAACAAGGCATGGCCGTGATAATACTTGCGCTTTGAGGCTTGTCACAACAAAAAGCGCATGAGTATGTGGGCCGGCTTCTAATAACAAGGCGAATTTCTCTGGCTAACATTAGGCATGTTTGTAATCAATATGGCGTTTTTTTTCGGTCAAGACATCTGGAGATGGAAGAATATTGGCAGACACCAGCGATTCTGGCAACACATTTTCAAGTACTGCTTCTCTCTTTACCGGTGTTAATGTATCAATAGTCCGCGGATGTGACCAAGCGGCGAAGACTCCACAGCTGTTTTCAAGTCAAAGAACGCTCTCAGTGCGAGTGACTTAACTTGGATCAATAAAAAGCGTGAGAAACTGTTAACACGACTGCAGTCGGTGAAAAAAAAGTATAACAGATATCAACTGGTAGGTCGAGGTACCTGTCAGAACACATGCATATCTCACTCAGTTCAGCAGCATTCACATGTATTTGAAAAATTACCTGCCGCCTGTTATTAATTCTTACCAAAAGCCTTTCACTGGGCCTCGTGCCAAGTGGGTCGTGCTATCAGAGATAGATTAAATTTGGATGAATAGGACGGAAGAAAGGAATTCCCTCTATAACGATGCGGTTCCATGTTCTTTAGAGACCGTGTCGTCAAGGGTGCTTTTTTTTAATTTAGATGGTCAAACACAAGACGGTCAGTCTCTTCAGATTAGAATTTTTGGGGGTACAGTGGAGGAAATCGAAGAGTTCTCTATCCCGGTCATAAAAGTACTGATTCCCCACAAGTTAACCTCTTCGTTATCTTGAACAGTTGAGGAAATATAGAATTTACTCGAAGGCCAAGCGAAGAAAGTGCAAATCATGAATCAACCGAATTCTAGCTCGTAAAGCCATAGTTGGCAGTCATAGGGTTTGCGGTTTCAACCAAACTTGAGGTATACGGACTTTCGAAATCAAGGTGCTGTTTATTCTTTATATGGGACGCGAACATGGGATCACGTATTATGAGCAGGGAGGCAGACATCACTACTGAGTAGGCCCCTCATTTACATTCATTTTATTGAGTTGAAGGGATGGCGACCAAGAGAACAATAGTCTGGAACGGATGTTGATATTTCGATCACTCTTGTTTACGCTTGAATAACACGGTAGTCTCACAGTCAGGCGCTGTTGGTTCGAACTCCACCTCTGCTTCTCGACTTCCCATGTATACGTTTGGGCAACCTGGCAGTATCCCAGCCCTCGGGCTTCCTTCGGGTGACATGGCAGATAGGCACCGGAAGAATGTTACAGCTGGGAGATTATTATTATTTGATTAGCCATGCGCCGAAACGCCACAGCTGAAATTTTATCGTTTATTAGACTCTCTCTCTCGTTCTGGAGACGCGCTCCTTGGAGAGAAGAGCTAATATTGAAATGCACTCAAAGATCAGTTGAAATTTGTCACTTCTGAGAGATCGTCTATCCATGAGGAAGCGATCGTATGTCACATCTGATGTCCACAAAACCATGGGTTCTGAAGTTTGAGTACTCATTTGGGAACAATTACAGGGTAAGAAGTACTAGAGATTGAAAAGACAGGCACACAAATTCAGGCGCTATATGACACACCAGCTCCTTCAGGGGATTGGATAGCGCTTCTAATAGATCACCGTCCCCATATTGAACAACAAGGCAATTTCAATATAGCGGCAGTAAATAAGGCCCCTGACTGTCGAAAAAACACGAGGAAAGAATGAGAAAAAATGGAAAGGGTGGAGACTCTTTGTGGACACAAGGAAAACAACCAAGGGCGAAGACCCAAAATTATCAAGTGTCACTGAACTAAACAAACCTGAAAATCATGCCCGGATGGGATGTTATCAGAGGGACTGATCGAGCAGCCTTTGCAAACCTCACCCAACACAGATCAAAGCCACAAGGAAACTAAATTCAGCTAGACGGGTCGATCAGAAAGCAAATATATACCCGCAAATGCGTTTGCTGATGCGCCACACCCTGTAAGCTTTCCTGCAGTGTCATAATAGAGTAACTCCTACGTTTTTCATGTACCTGACTCCAAATAGATGCAGCCCGCTTCCCTAGCTCAATTGGCGAGCTAAACCTGATGAGGGTAACAACTTCAACTCCTAGCGCCAACAGCAGCGGCTATCCGCTGCATGAGGAGCTGGCTCTGGCGATTAAAGGCCAGCACTCGAAGTAGGAACTGGAAGGTTGAAATACTTCTAGATCCAATGGCCACGAGTGTGGTTCTGTCCAACGGTCCACTACTTGTGCCCAGCTAGGGTGAGCAGTTTATCCGTGAATAAAAGTTAAATAGTATTAGGAGTGGGAGGCATGAGGCTATCTTTGTAAACTCCAATTACAAAAGCATAAGCGACTGCCTTCATTTTCCATCCAGAGTTGGATGAGCGTTGAGCAAGAGATGGCAATAGTACTAATGAGTGATAAAAGTGATCTTCGCGGATATCTACAAGTGTGTGCGATGCATATACACTCGAAAGGAATTGGGTGAAAAAGTACCAACATTAAGGGATGGTTAAACTACCACAAAATCACCTCGGGTGTCCGTTCCTTTTGCTTCACAGACAGATATTTCTCCAACTTCTGGCAAAACGTCGTTGTTTCCTTGAGGAAGTCTTTCGGGTCGGTCTGTATGAAAAAGGATGTGGAATGTAAGGTGCCGTACACGCACAAAATAGAGGAATTCCGAGCTAAAAAAAAACAACATAGAGGCCCGTAACACAAAGAGGAAAGAAGTACCGATCATGCTAGTGTTACTGGTTAACGTGTCTTATGTCGTGCGGACAGCAGCAAATCTAGCTGTGCCCTGTGCCTGGTTCTAGCAGTCCAGTTTATCGCCAGTGGAAAATTCAACCTTACGGTGTGGTGGTAGCAGAATCACGTACATTTGCGGTTCGCGAAGCACTATACCGTACGCTCTGACAGTCACGTGAAATGGGTCAGGAGAAGGCCGGAAGACTAAAAAGTGTGGTGCAGGCACCAGCGCTATGATCATGTGACCCTAAGCAAAGCATTGTTGCAACTTGCAATAAGGCGCACAGGTAACGTTTGGTACCTGGTGTAAGCAAGTGACACAGAAAAGAACGGACCATCTAAATCTCCCAACAGTTCACATGAGAGGAACTACTAAATTTCATTTACGGCATCGTCAAGGTAAACCATCAACACTGGTCCTGTGCAGCTTCGAAAGTTGACTAGCTAAGCTGACATCTCTGTGGTCTTTCACTCTTCGATGACAATGGATGTTGTGTGGTAAGATTCTGAAAGCACGCTGAATGATATAACCATCAGGAAAATTAGCAATATACTGAGATGTGTTCCAGTGACTACGGAATCGAACTGCGGCTCACAATATACGTTTCTGTGTATACCATTTGACCTCCTCTTGTAGGACTAGCTACAATCAGAGTACAAGATACCTGACTAAACAGGAAAAATCGGTGAGGCGTGACAGCTGCCAGTTCAATCCATCTGGCTGGTGCAACCAAGTAGGACTAGCTACAATCAGAGTACAAGATACCTGACTAAACAGGAAAAATCGGTGAGGCGTGACAGCTGCCAGTTCAATCCATCTGGCTGAATGCAACCAACCATCAGATGAACATTTTTTTCGATGCGTCGCCTCGGGCCAGATTGTTCACATGTCACATGCCGTCACATGCTGTTGTTAACAATTGCCATCAAAGCCAGATTCCCAAAGAAAATTAGGAAAATAACTGGCGAATTAATCGAAACCGTGAATCCGTCGGTTGTTCGGTAAACCTTTCTGAAAAGATTACCTCCTGAAGGGTTCCAGAATTCCACCAACTCACTGAAACCCAAACGCTGTTCGTAAACCACCCACCGATGCCACGAGAGGGGAGGAAACGCTACACTGAATAAATCAATGAATTGGACACATCCACATATTTGTACTTATGAACCCCAACGGTGCTCAAGCTGATTATCTATAGACATTGCGCATGACGTGCAGTGTGTGTGTCGTCCGTTGTTCGACGTTAGCATCTAAACTAAGGCTGATAATGTGCTTGCTGTCATACAGCTAGACGGTCGAGAACAGGTGCGGGTGCTAAGGCTGCGGGCACGGAAATTACTCGATCTGCACCACCGCAGGTTAGTGGTCTCTTCAGACAATTCAAATAAACCGCTTCCGGGCTCCACACTCTGTGATGCTAGAAACATCTGGTCTAAGAGAAGAAAGCCAAATGAAAAACAGGCACTACTGATTACTGAAATGAATGGTTTTATGTCAGTGTACCTCCTGTTCCAGATCAATCGATCTCGATAACTAGGTACAAACATTTATATGCATCTCTATGCTTAATCCTACAGAGTTCCCTTTTCAGAAAGACCAGGACGATTGCGTAACTTTGAATATAGTTGATCACGCTAGACGGATTTTCAAGATGCCAGAATGCATTGCACACTAACAATCGCCTGTTGTGGTCTGAATGTCCTGCGAAATTTATCGTATTTCTGCTATGAACTCGCTGTATGCAACAAAAACGAATACACCCAAACGCATACCACCCAAAAGAACAAATCCGGTAGTCTGGTCATAAAATTTGCCGAAGCTTCGCATTCAAGAGTAACATAAACGTTACCATAATTGAGGTCATTACCATAATACTGTCAGAGTGCAACCTTACTGGCATTTGTTAACTTTTATTGGTTCAAGCCAAACAAAATCCGAGAATCACTTAATGAAACTGTAACATATTCCCCTTACGTCAGTCTACTGGTGCCAAATGAAAGATGACTTACTTTTGGGCCTAAAAGCCACTCCGAGCGCAGTTCTTGAATTTCGTTCAGTATCATTGGTTTGAAAGGTGTCTGGGGATATAGCACAAGTTTAGATGAGTGAGTAATTCAAAGGCTGTGTAACAGGGCTTAAAACAAACAAGACGTGTTTCGGTTGAAAAGCAACAAGGATGATTCGGAATTGAAACAACTAATCCTAACTGATTCCGAAAAACATTCGGACCAGTTGGTCCTCCAGCAAAAATCAATGGATGGGTTTTTGCTCATCGACCTAGCAAGAATAAGCTGAGTAAGCTGAAGGCTGCCGTAACCCTTGATTCCTAGTGTGCAGCGCAGGAATCTACTATTCAAAGGTTCAGTTGTTGTATGAGAATTCCAAGTTTTAACCTGATGTCAGCAGAAGATGGTCTCTCTCATTATATTGCGAAGTGTCAGAAATCCAAAGCACCCAGTCATTCGAAAGACTCGAATCTCACATAAACACCGTAAAACCAGTTTCACATGATTTAGGTAACTCGGTGCTGGTCAGCCCACGTTGCCGCCAGGAGGATCTCACGGCTCAACTTGTGGGATCAGAAAACGGTCTGTCATTTCGAGTCCTTATGCCGGAATTATCTATCTTTGGGTTAATCAGGTACAGAAAAAGAACACGCAATGAAGGAAGCTTCATTGGAAGCACGCAAATCCCGATATCAGGTCGTTGTATTCTATCCATCCGTATTTTCTTGCTGAGAATTCCCTGACGCAAGGGTCACTTGCTTCGTGATATCAGGAATTCGCGCCATGTACCGCAAAAAATCATGGCTGTTTGTACTTATGTACGGTTGGTAATTGCTCAACTTGATTTCGATACAACAATACGATTCGAACAATAAGAAAAAACGGACGTACACGTCTCTTCTGCAGAAATGTGTTAGACCTCCATGTGAAATCGCTTTCCACCTTGGATTTCAAAAAAAAGCTTCAGAAACTTGCTTAACTCGTCTAGCTGGAGAAACCCCTAAGTAGATCATTGACTATAAAACATATCAACTAGCTCGGTGCAGTAAACCTTTTCGACACTGTTAGCGCACAATAACAACAGAGTTATTTCTTTCACAAAGGAAACTACTCACAAGGTTGCTAAACACTTCGACAGCAACCTTGTGAGCAGTTTCCTTCATAAAAATATACTGCGACATCTCGAATATCGTACCAAATGAAACATGAGGCGGACTGTGTGCAGCACACTCAGTTGAAGAACATTGTAAACGAGGGATTCACTTGAGTCTCCCGTGAAAACCAAATTGATTTGCAAACGACTGTCGAAAAGGGTTATTTATTGTTATAATCCTCAGTCTCCAAATAATGTGGCTTGCGCATAGCCCACCTGCAGTTAGTCATTAAGGCTGCAAGCTTGAAAAACTGCTGTCAAGTCGGAATGAAAACGTTTTCACGAAAATGAGGCGGAGGGCAGAAAAGCATACATACCAGCATCATAGAACGAGCATCTTCAACAGCATGAATGATCTTGGCAAACTCGATAAACGCTGTTTTGATTGTGACCTCATCGTCTGTTTCAGCAACTTCCGCAGAGCCACGCTTGTCCGAATCCTCCTGGCTGCGTGCTGACAGTGGTGGCGAAGCATTGTTGGCAGTACAATAGGCAGTCAGAGAGGCTGCAAAGCTTCCAAGAGCATCGCGCAATTCTACAGCAATCGAAAAGGGACACTATCAACCGTAAGTGACAATATCCGAAAATTTGAGTTTAATGGCAAACACTGAATCAAGCACTGAGAAGACTTTAGGCAACCAATCATTATCGTCTAATCAGCAGTAGCGAACAAGATGACACGGCGGTTGACCTAGAAAATATCGTTCCTGTTTTGTGCTTGTTGGGAAAATCAATAGAAAGTCCTATTTTTCAAGGTAGGAATCTTTCTAATGAAAGTGAAGTTTGCTGCCACGGTATGAACAAAAGTGACACATCGGGTCGAACAAAGAACTGCTCATGGGCCCCAGTCGAAAAGGTTGTAAGGATACTCCGGTCTGTTGTCTTTGGATACAGGGTTAATGTAGTAACACTGCGTACATTGAATGTGACATTTAAGTGAGTTCGAGGATGAAAGGCCAACATGCGAAGAACGAGACTCTCCATTTGAACAGAGAGACAGCTTTTAACAAACGAACATTGTGACCTTAAAAATAATTGTATTAGTTAATAGAGACAGAGTGAGAACAAAACAATCCACCCGATAAGTTAAAAGGCATCAATACTACTCACAATGTCGATGGGAACTCTGGATTACCAACTGCCGGTTTCACCCTTCTTGGAGCTAGAACGCGAACCCAGCCCCCGAATTCCTATCATTCTAATGAAGGCGCACGTGAATTTTATCGGCCTTAGGAATAGCACTGAAACACCGCTCCAACTAAAAACAAACGAACTTGCGCAGCATACACGGTTGAAGAACATTATAAACGAGATGGCAAAGACCTGAAACCGATCGAGAAGTCACCGTTTCGGAAAAGTCCGGAAGGTGGTCAGTAGATCTATTGATGGGCAACGGTTTGCTTTCGACACAAAAGATTTGTCAGGCCAAATGACTAGGTTACAAGGCTGATCGAGTTTAACAGCAGAAGGAGAAGCAGGCTAAATCAGTGTTAGGTATCGATCAACGCCGCTCCAAAATCCAGTCCGCATTACCCCCAATCCACCAATCAATAGATTTGCTGACCAACACTAACAAACGAAATCTCTTAACTGACATCTAACACCCATTTGGTATGCCAGTTGAGAGACATTACCAATCATCTCTGTTTTGAAAGTCCACCAAACTTGTGATCTAGTCACGTCTGAAGAAACGAAATGTATCACAGCAATAAATCTAGCGGTGGTCTTTCAAGCATTTCCGGGCTACGAACTATGAATTTCCTGATCTTCTGTTGACACCAGCTTCGTTTGCAAAGACAAATTGAAAGTAAAAGGTGACATTAACACTTTGAGAGGGCACTGGTCCCGAATTTTTCGTGGTGAGTGACATTCCAAACCTACGCATCCATCGTGAAAGACGAGAATCTGTGATGCCCGAACGCCATCCTCTAAAGTGAAGTGTTTATGGGTTAAGCTCCCAACTGTCTTCCCGACCTTTTTAAGTACATCCTAGGTAGCTGAAAACAGCATCTAGTGAGGTGAAGTAGGTATGGTATTCGTAAAATTGTTTACATTTAGACGAGACCTAATACATATTGTTGGGCGCTACTTGCTTCCTATAAATGTGCACACTGTAGCCAGTGGCCAATCACAGCAAGGCTGATGGAAAGGCGTCAGACATTTCTTTCCAGCCAGCTTCACAGCATCTCCGAACCGTGTTCCCTTAACAGCCGTTTTTGTTCAGCTTGCATACATGTATATTGCACAGTAACGACACTTTATTGTGATTCGACTATTGTTTCCATTTTACAGTTGATATCTCATGTCTTTCTTATTTCCACAAACTACTATGCTGAAAGCTCTCCGACAACCCACGGCAGGTTTCGTGCTTCTTAGGGCTCATCAGATAGGCGCAACTCCAGATTTTCCATCAACTTTATGTTCTACTTGAATCCAAATTGCGCCAAAATTCGGTGAATACACTCACTTGAATATCAATATGGTTTTCATTGGGGACTCACCTGAATCTAAAATGAATCTCTCGTTTATGATATTCTCCTTCAACTGAATATGCTGCACCAGGCTGCCTCCTGTTTCAGTTGGTACGATATTCCAGATATCATAATACATTGCGTAGACTTAACACAATACTCAAAAAGTGGATTCCAGTAGAAGATGAAGTTGACGGGAACCCGGGAACCTTGCCTAGCTAATGAGCCCCAAGAGGGGCGAAACCGGTCGTCGGCTGTCGAAGAGATTATAGCAACTAAGTGAGTAGTATGTTAATCCCATGCAATGTATTACAACATTTCGAACAGCCTACCTGAGCCGGCCTGATGCAGCACATTCAGTTGAAGAACATTGCAAACGAGGGATTCAACTGGGTTCCAAGTGAGTTTCCTGTGAAAACCAAATTTGTATGCAAATGACTATATTTGTCATACTTTCAAATACTTATATAGAGTAACATGTTCGACAAGCGGATCAGTGGAATAGTTCCACGTCTTATTGATCACAACTAAAGCTACATTGTTGGTGTGTCAATTAGTATCAGTGTGTGCGTGCGTTCATTGACTGGGATAAGTATGTGCAACGACCAGTGATTAGAAAATCCGTTTACTTTCCTCCGTATTAACGCTTACTATCCAGTGATTTACAAATGTATCTAACTGTAATGACACAGTATGTCCACACACATCATTAGTGATCATCTGTGACTATTGTGAAAGTTGTCTCGATTGCATAGCTGTTAAGTTGCTTCTTCTAACCTATCATTCGTTGTTGACAAAATTGATTTTTCGCTCAGTCAGAACTTCCCGGCATCGTTCTGCGAAAGGATAAAAGTAACAGTTTACGGCTGATTAGCTGAACGGATCCGATCGGTTCAACCCAAACAGAGGAAAAAGTAAGTCGTCATCACTACTGTTCCAACTCGCTCTCACTTTCGTGTCAGTGGACATATACCGAACTGTTTGTCTATTCGATAAGCGAAACCCGGCGCAACGAATCCACAAAACCCAGTCACGATTTCTACAGATAGCGCGAAGCCCCCTGAAAGTTTGCAGCCGTTAAAAATTTCACCCAAAAATTGAACGATCGCAGAATTAGATTCTGATGTTAATATTTTCGTGCATTTCATTTGGCATGGAATTTATCTGATGGACGAGCAGTCTGGTCCAAGCTCCAGTGTCTGTCTTTGCGGTAAATGAATGTAACTTAACACTCGTACCTTCCACGTTAATACAAACCAATGCACACTGAGTATCTGGAAGACTATAACGATTATTCCGTTGCAAACTTCACACCAGGAGTACGCTAAGGGCACTGACAGACCGCAAATGTTGATTTACTGGGTAGTGTAATACGTTGATGTAAAGGTCAAACACATTCACAACAAGGAACAGTGTCCATAGTAGCCTACCGGGTAGACTAAATCGTCCGGCAAAAAAAACGTCAGAACCCCAGTCTGAGTTGGTCAACGAACGAACCACCCTGTCCCCCGAAAACTGGAAAGGATTGTTTTCACGCGTCACGCAGTTAAATTGGTTGATAGTCGCACAAAAATCCAGAACTCCGAAAAGTAGCGTCATAACAAGAAAGCATGGGAAAGCGATTTTATCGACTATGCGTTAGACACCTTATCAGTGGATAGATCACAGAGCATCAAGGTTTTACAGTATTTCAGAATTATATCCACTTCGGTATGTAGGTTGCGACAAATATCCACATAGACAGCACAAAAGCAGAACACAAGATATAAGAAAAAACTCTAAGGGTCCAAAGTACAATCTTATCAGAAACATTCCACTTCCACCTCTTAGGACATTTAGCCAAATGAGCAGTTGCTGGTGTGAAACAAACAGGAACCTCCGGTACCACCACTGGCGGCTCCGCCTTCGGTTTCGAGGGCCTTGGTTTTCTAGGTGTTACTTGCATGTCATGCATATACAACCCAAATGTATAGGGTGCGTACGAAAGCCAATCCGGCGAGCTATTGATCAACACGTGTGCACGGCCGTTTGAATGAGGGGTCAGTTGTCTGCTACCGAGACAATTAGATAAACCATTAATCAACTATTCCTATTAGGAAAAGTGGCCTTCTGTCTAGTTGAGCATCAAATAGTTGTGAAGGGGGAACAATGTCCATATTATCATAGGGTACGCTTGCTTTTACAATGCACACTTCAAACCTGATAGAAATGTATGAACAGTGGTTCCATTCATCACAATTCTTTATGCACGGTATAAACGGAATAAACGCATTGAGGGCGAAAGCGGCGTAATCGTAAAATACGCTTAAAAAACCCTCCAACTGCCTCTTCCGTGGACAGCCTATCACTTGAATCTATAAACTGTAATCTGCACATACCCAAAAGACGAAATGACTTTGTCGGTAGTGAAGGTCTTCTTCAAACTGGATGACTGACTGATACGCGACGGTATCCTACGAAATCGAGTGGCTGTGCCCCTCAGAGCATGAAAGTCCACCGTGTTTCTAATTAGGTACTTCTTTCATGCCCTCTTACCTTTCACGCACGCAAGTCAATCTTTTGGCTGGAAGACAAGACAAGACAGCTAGTTCAAAACACTAAATGGTACAGTAAAGCGATGGCCTAAACATCATCAACACCACGATACAAATGGTAGCGATGGAACCACCGTATCACCACCAAACAAGCATGGAAATCACATTTCAAAGTTCTGGAATAGGAGGGTAATGGGGGCGGTCTGTGAACATGCAACCTTTTTTACCGAATCCGTTACCGATCCGTTGCCAAATACGTCTACAGGGGATACCGCTACTCAAGCAGACGATGAAATTCATTGTGGTCAGCTGATCGACGTAGAGATGGTCCAAAACTACGAGCTTATGTACATAACGCTTAGGTTGATTCCGAACTTCAGAGAATAGAAAACAAAGCACATATGGACTACCTAGGAATCGCAGGTTTAAAACACGTACAAGGGAGCACGTCCGTGGAAAACGATATAAGGCTGCTTGTTGTCTACACAACCATTATATCCACCCATACTCCATACTCTATTCATATACTA